TATTTATTCATAAAAAGGGTGTTTGAACTACATTATCTCTGTGCTAACCCTCTAATTCTTAAGGCTAAAGATTTATTCCAGTTTATTCCATCCACTTTTGAAGCATCTTTTCTATGTGCTCTGCTAAATCTCTAGGTCAAAGTAATACAGTGCAGAACAGATAACTAAATCCTTGCTAGGCATTAACTAGGGCAAATACATTTGGAGAACTGCCTCTCAATTTAAACCAGTTGAACTGTGACTATGCCATGGTTTTAGAGAGGCTGTTTCATCATGTCATGGCCTGTCTTACAAGAGTACGTTTTCAGTCCCTACACTTTTAAAATAATCACAGTCAAACAGAAACTAAGCTGCTGGGATATGTGTTAATTGCTCCACACTAGTGAGTGCAGAGAACAGGAGCTGAGGTTCCTGTGACATCAAGAAAAATTGTGAAAGGTCAGTTTCAAAATGAGTATTACTAGCCTGATTAAAAATAACTCTTTTCTTAGACAATGTATATGACATTGTTTGAACATTATGAATAGGCTGAAGGTGCTAATTATAACAGTAAATGATTCAACAGAAATGCTTATGAGTATGACTTCTGCTCATTCTGATTTTTTTGTTCTGGGAACTTTTATTGCATGGAGTCCCTTTTATACATTGATTTCTCCATGAGATAGAGGGCACGAGTCCCACATACTGATCCTGTGATGATCTGTATGAGATGAGCTGACGATGATCAGTGGCTTACTTGGTGTTCGGTGAAGCGCTTGTCTGTGTCTACCGTTGTCCCTGAAATTCCAGGCCAGTGTTTTAAGATAGAGAAAGAATTTACCTCGAGCTTTATATTTTTATTAAGTATATATATGTTTTACTGTTTTCATAAGATCAAACTCACAGTTTCTTTTACTTGAAAACTCTGAACAGTCTACACAAAAGTAGTATCAAAATAGATGCAAAGAAATGAGAGATGTCAACATTGAACTTTTGAATTTCTGATCATGAGATTAAACATATTCATGTGGTTAAATTATAAATGCAAAATAGTAAACTACTCACTTCATTTTCTGATAAGTGAAGTGACAGATTATTAACTTGAACAAACTTGAATGTTATTAGTTTGGATTTTGGCATTTGCATTTGAATAAATTTTTTTCTTTCATTCAGAATGGACTAAAATAAAAGTATTTTACACTCTAAGAAATTTTTCCTTAATATCAACTATCTGTTCTTATTTAAAGGAAACCTGAAAAACAATGTGTCTACAAAATGTTAAAATCTGGGAGATGCTTAAAGATATATGTATGTGTCAGTAAGTACTGTATCAGCCACAGAGGCATTTATTTATCATTTATTATTATTCGACATTCTTGATAAATTTTCAACCATCATTTGCAGTCAGAAATGTGTTATTATATTTTCAAAGGTGCTAATTTAATTGTATAGAACATTTCAACATATTTTCTATTCTAATTGCTTTTTAATTAATATAAATTATATTATCTGAGTATATGAATGAGTTGAATTATCACTGGTGAATATTTTTTCAGTAATTATCCCTTCAGATAGCAAATAAGAATAGTGAAAAATATAGTGATGTGAAAGAAAAGATTCCATCACCACAGAAATTTAAGTAAATAGCTGTTTTAAAATTTATATGTACATTGTTTTATTGTTTATGAAGTCTACAAGTGTTATTTCCTCAATATATGGCTTTGAAAAGATAGGTTTGTGAGGTTTTAAATTATCTTCTTTCTTTAGCAAAATGGAAAGCTGGGGAGATGAGGCAAAATGGAGGAAAAAAAATCACCAAAGCATACTCATTATAATTTATTTTATATTGAGTGGAGACCTTGTAATAAAAAAGTAATTGATAATCTGGTAGGTGTATGGTATAATTTGTAGATAGGGACACACACACACTCACTCATACACTTTTGTCTTTTCTAATCTACAACAGAATTTGAATTTAATATAAAAGGAAACAACTGTTCAATGTAAAAGTTAAAATACATTTTAAATTCATATAAAATATATTTAATATAAAATCAAATGTTCAAAAATGGCATTAAATTCTCAGCCTTTAGCTAATGTGAAATATTAGCTTGTAAGAAAAGATGGTTACATCTAATAGCATGGGTCATAGGAAGAAACTCCTCAAGACAACTGGACCAATCAGATACTCAGAAATGTTGAAATAAGCTTTTCTGGGATGGTGCCACTGTACTAAAGCATAGTGAGGCCACAGATCTAATTACGGGAAGTAGTTTCATAACAAGGAGCGGTCCAATAGAGTAGATACATGTAAATAAAATGTGATAATATAACATCGAATTTGAAAAGTTCTAAGTTAGAGGCATAGAAAATCTCTCGGTGCTCCTGGAAGGAAAACATTGCTTCCTCTGTGCAGGATCCTACAAAGTTTCTTTAAAAAAATCTATATGAGGTTTTGTTTGTTTGTTTGTTTTGTTTTGCTTTGGTGGTGGGATGTGAGTGGGGACCAAAGGCTGCCAGAGATTTTGAGGCGTTTAGGGCAAAGGCCCCCCACGCATGCTGTGAAGGAACTTCAGCGGGGGACCTGCATTACCGGGCCCGGCACTTGGAGAAGAACAGGGATGCTGTTCTCCGCGTGTTGCCAGCGCCTTTGCTCTCCTAGTCTTTCAGAAGGTAGCTTTGTCTAAAATGCACATCCCTGAGTTCAGACGTGGAGAGTTCGTGTAGTGAGTTTAGATAGGGAGGGATACTTGCATTGCATTTTTCAAAATTTTCTGCTTGATGAGGCATAATTTAGACGTAATGTATTTCAAAAATTGGTAGAAGCTTCAGACATTGGCATCACCCATTTTCCACGTACACATTCACAGCTCATCTGTGCTGGTGGATGCAACCAGTGTTCCAGGTACTTGTCCCGTCCCAGAAAGAATTCAGAGACAAGACGTAGTGGTTAAAAAAGTAAAGTGAGGATTTATTAAAGGATGGATAGTACACTCTCAAGGGGAGAGTGGGCAGGCTCAGTAAGTTTCTTTGGCAAGTTAGTTATATAGGGTGTAAAAATGAATGGGCGGAATATTCATTGGAGAGGGAAGGGTTTGATTATCATCCTAACTCCACCTTCCCAAAGGGAGGAGGGATTTTTGTCCTTATTTTGTCTGGATTGGCAGTGTCATGGCGTTGGTGCATGATGGGTACTTCTAACTGCAAGGCTAATTTTATTGAAATGAGGGCATAATGAGCAAAAGGTTACATTCGGACACTGGAGATTCCTGCCTTTTCTCACTTTTCTTTGTTGGTCTACCAGGCCACTCATCACCCCAAAAGGTGTGGCCCCTTATCAGCCCAGAGGTTCCTGCTTTTCTTTCTCTACCCAGAGACCCCTGGTGCTTACATGCTGTATAGTTTCCTGCATTTCCTGCCCGTGCCCCTCCTTTCTGCCCAATTCCTGCCGTTTGGTCTGTGTCCCCCTGTCTCTGCTCATATCTAGCTATCTGCCTGCTCTAACACATCCTCTCCCCATTCACAGAACAATCAAGCACTGACCTTTTTGTCCTTACAGTTTTGCCTTGTCCAGAATTTTATGTAAATGGAATTTTACAGTATCTACTTTTTGGTGAATCTGACTTTTCACTTAGCATAATGCCCTTAAGATTAATCCATGTAAACAGCCATTGTATTTATGTGACTATCCGTTCGTTACTTCTGATTGCTTATCCTATTGTATGGATCTGTCACCCTGATGTTTACCCACTCACTGGTTCATAAGTCTTGGGATTTTTTGTTTTATTCTATTATGAATAAAGCTGCTATGACCCTTAAACATTTTGTGTGGACAGATATTTTTATTTCTTTGAGGAGTTACAAAGCGGGTTGTATGCTGAATGCGTGTTTGTCTTTTTAAGACACTGCCAGACTGCTTTCTCACGTCGCTGTACCAGTTTGCATTCCTGCCAGCAATGTATGAGGGTTCCACTTGCTGCACATTCTTTCCAAAACTTGGTCTTTTCATTCATTTTAATTTTAACCATTCTCAGTGTTTGGTAATGGTATCTCATTGTGGTTTTAATTTTTATTTTTCTGATGATTAGTGATGTGGAGCATATTTTTGTGTGCTTATTTGCCATTAATATATCTTCTTTGGTAAAGTGTCTCTATTCACATATTTTTCCCGGTTTTTCAAATAGTTTTAGCTCTTACAGTTAAGTCTGTGATTCATTTTGAGTTAATCTTTGTATATGCTGTGTGTTAAGGAGCTAGATTTATCTTTTTGCATGTGGTTATACAATTGTCTCAGTACCATTTGTTGAAAAGACTGTTTCTTATTCATTGGTATCAATTTACCATGAATGTAATAGTTTTGTTTCTGGAGTCTCACTTCTTTTCTCTTGATCTATGTGCTTCTTATCTTGCTAGAACCACATTTCTTAATTGTAATAGCTTTATAATTATTTTGAAATTGTTAAGTATAAACCCTACAGTTTATTTCCATATTATTTTGGCTATTCTGGGTTACTTATCTTTCCATATACATTTTAGAATCAGCTTGCCAGTTTCTGCAAAAAAGCCTGCTGTGATTTTGAAAGGGATTGCAATAAGTCTATATATCAATTTGAGGAGCATTGCCATTTAATTTATTCTTCTGATCAAGTGATATATTGTATCTCTCTGTTTTGTTTTATTTAAATTCCTCTCAACAATATTTTATAGTTTTCAGTGTGCAGTTCTTTCACATATTTTGTTGAGGTTATTTCTAAGTGGTGTATAATTTTTGATGTAACTAGTAAAATAGTATTTTTATTTTCAACTCCCAATTTTATTGTTAGTATTTAGAAATAAATTACTTTTGCATACTGACCTTGAGTATTTGACCTCCCTGAACTTACTTATTACTTTATATCTTTATTTGCACATTCCTTACAATTTACTTCATGCAAGATCATATTATCTGTGAATTGAGATAGTTTTATTTCTTACTTGACAATATTTGATTTTTCTCCCCCTCCTTTTTTCCGTTATTGCAGTGTCTAGGACCTCTCTTATTAAGATGAATGCAAGTGGTGAGAGCAGATATCCTTACCTTGTTCCTGAAGTTATAGGTAAGCATTCAGTGTTTCAGCATTGAATATGATGTTAGCATTGATTTTTCATAGATGTTCTTGATTGGTTTGAGAAAGTTGCCTTTTATTATTAGATTGGTGAGAGATTTTAAAGTCAGGAATGGATGCTGGGTTTTGGTAAATGCTTCTTCTGTAATTACTGAAATTGCTATTTTCTTTCTTTTCCTGTCTGAAAATATAGTGCTTCATATTCATTGCTTGTTTTTTCAACACTATATTAACTTGTATTCTGAGATAAATCTGATTTGGTCATGTTGCATAATACCTTTAATATATTGGGGTTTTTTTGCCATCGTTTGGTTATGAAATATTCTACCTATATTCATGATATCAATCTGTAGTTCATCTTTCTCTGGCTTTGATATAAAGATAATGCTGGCTTCATAAAATGAGAGGGATATCTTCTTTCCTTGATTATTTTCTGAAAGAGTTTGGGCACTATCTGCTGGTTTTGTTTTGCTTTGTACATCTTTTGTTTTGTCTTCCTCTATAACATTCTTTTCTGCCTTTTCTTCAGTTCCCTTTCAGTAGGACCTGCCTATACTCGATACTCAATTTGGTCTTCCTTTCTTAGGTAACGGAGGGCCCTTAAATGAGGTGCATTTTTCATTTGCTGTCATAATTTTGTGATTCTTTAGAACTCACTAAGATCAGATTGCATATCTCCTGTAACAGCAAGCCAGCATATGGTGGAAAGCAGTCTTTTTCGAACTGACAGCCAGTGAGCAGGAAATCCAGCCCCTCTTTTGTCTGTTCAGAGCAGCTTCTCTTCAAATTCACAGCAGGCAGACACACACAGAGTCCTAGCTCCTCAAAGAATCTGTGGGTGGCACGGGGGTTTTTTGGTTTGTTTGCTTATCCAGGCAACAGGAGTAGCAAGCACTTTTCTCTGTAGATGGTCATTTATTCAGTTGTTCACAAATATTTAGTGAGTGCCGACTGCATGTCAGGCAGTATTCCTGACACATAAGATACAGGAGGAAACAAACAGAAAGAGATCTCTGCACTCACAGAGCTTATCAGGGTTTAAGGGTGATAAAAATAGAACTATAATAAAGTATAAAACCATATAATATGTTAAAAAGTGGTAAATGCTATTATAAGAAGAAAAACTTGAGAGTATAAGGGAGACCTCAAATGCCAAGGGGAGAGGGACAGTTTGCTGTATTGAATTTGCAGTTAGGTTTCTTTTTGAGAAAGAGAGACTTGAGAAAAGACTTGAAGATGAGAGACCGAGCCAAGAGGCTTTCTAGGGAAGAGGATTCCAGGAGACAGAGCAGCAGGAATTCAGGCTACCAAGGCAAGACCAGAGCCCTTCTCTGTTCCCTGGCACGAGGGACAAGGAGGTCCAGCCTTTGCTCCCTTGGAGATCTAGGCTCCGAGAGCATTCCTGGCTTGGTTTTGTTACATCCCAGGGGCAGCTGGAAAGAAGAGGGAGTCACAGATCTACACAGAAGCTGCCTCAGCTGAACAGAACTCTTCTACAAAATATGCATGAGAGATGCTGTCCGAGAACCAATACTAGGGTATTGAGCTCAGCATGGAACTTTAAATATTCTGAGGTGAGACACAGAGAAAACCAATTAATCTGTCACTGAGAGAGATTACTGTATATCATTTTATGGTAGGGCAGTCCTGATGACAAATAGCAAAATACAAGCAAAATGATGATTAGTGTTTGATTTGTTGCAAAAACACCTAAGCAGAGTAGCTGCTGCAGCTGCTTCTTTTTTTAACTCCAAAATAGCCAAGCAGAATATCTTATCTAAATGCAAAAAATGTATTACTTATGATTGGCTTTCATCTATTTAAAGATTTCAAAATTTAGTTTTCTGCAGTATCCTTAGGATCCATCAAGAACATTAGGAAGTAAGATAAACCTGAAGGCAGTATCATTTATAGATGAAATACAACATCAACACCTTGAATATTAAACAATTTATATACCTGACATTTTCTTTATTAAAAATGCGTTCTTTAGACTTCTTTCTTAGTACCTGATTAATAGCATAATCCAGTACCAGTGGGTTGAATTTTTTTCTCTCTTTCGGTAACAAGCTGGAATAATTTGTATATCTTTCAAACTCAGAATGCAGAATACAAATTAGATTATGTCATGAAAAATGCAGTAGTTGGTTTGACAGCTATTTTAAAGATAAATCTGTATTTTTCAATAAATTTCTATACCTTTGTATATTAAGTATAATTTTTCTTTTTTGAATTTTAAATATACAAATATGTTTATAAACATATACACAAGTGAATTAAACGCATGTACATATTCATGATAAAGGAGCTGAGTACACTTCATACCTAGGTTTACTTTAGTTCTCAGTAATGATAAGCATTTAAATGTGCAAACATGAATTTCCAGGCCAAGAGTTTTCACAGTTGGAAGAGGAATTTTGTTAGACTTTCTATATAATGATAGAAAAGTTAATTATTTTGTATGGACTTGGGCATATTTATTGTTCACCAAAGATTTAGAGCTGTGTGTGTGTGTGTGTGTGTGTGTGTGTGTGTGTGTGTATTACCAAGTTCTTATTGAGCCAGTTAAAAAGGATCCTGAATCTATAGACCAGTTGATTTAGTAAAGATTTATTTACACAAAGATCCAAGAGCCATCATAGGTTCATTTTTAGAAACCAAATTCAAATAAAATTTCTTTGAAAAAAACAACTCAATCAAAGTGGACAATAAAACATGCTACAAAGGTTAACAGAAGTGAGAAACATTTTTTAAAAAACTACAGTTTAGTGAGAAGATAGGAACCCTAAAATTAAAAAAAAAAATAAAAAACTTTATAATTTTTTTAGTCCTAGCACTCTTCTGTTAGTTTCCTAGAGCCACCATAAAAAGTACTCATATTAAGTGACTTAAACAACAGAAATTTATTGTCTCACAGTTCTGAAGGCTAGAAGCCTGGAATCAAGATGTCTGCAGGGCTGGTTCCTCCTGAAGGCTGTTTATTCTGAGCGAAGTATCTGTTCCAGGCCCCTCTCCTTGGCTTGTCTTCCCTCTGTGCCTCTTTGTATCTGTGTCCAAATTTCACCCACCAGCCATACAGGATGAGGGCCCACCCTAACGACCTCATTTTAAATTGATTACCTCTGTAAAGACCCTGTCTCCAAAGAAGGTCACATTCTGGGGCTTAGGACTGCAACATTTCTGTTTTTGAGGAGATACAATTCAGCCTATAACAACTGTCTTGGGGAATGAAAATAAAACATTAAAATATTAATATTGTCTGCTGTTACAAAGTGCAAAAATCCTGAAGTTAGCTATGAGCTTGAAGTGGCCCTTTCACTAATTCTGACAACAGCAGAGGTTTCCCTCGTATCAGGCTAACTGCATTTGTCTAGTTGATTTGTTTGCTTCTGTGTAACAGTCTCGCTCTCTAGATCATTTATGCTCATCTAGAGCTGAGACAGAGTGCATATGATTAGACCGAGAAAATCCACTCCAATAATTAGAAAAGATTATGTCAAATAACTGTTTCTGCCTCAGGGACACAGGGAAAATTGTCTCCCTGTTTGAACAGAGTGCCAGGCTTTGCATATTTCTGAAGCTTGCTTCAGTTTGAAGTCTTTCAAGGTGAATTAGTAGCTGCAAAATTCATAAACTGAAAATCAGGAGATCATTTTTTTCCCTGTTGGCATTCATCTTTCTCCTTACTATGAAAGAGATTGTGTTTTTACTTTATGCTATTTTACTAATGCATCTAAACACCAAAATGGTATTCACATTTTTTTACATCCATAAGGTCTCATTCCAGGAAACTTATTTTGCCTTTTGGCCACTAGTTCTTGAGTAAGTTTTGACTAAGATGGCCTTACTGGACTCAGCTTGACTAAACTTCAGATGGACTTCTTCCTCACCCTAAGCACCTGACCTCCCTTTTCTTAGAGCCTTTACTTTACAAAACCTGCAGTTGTAAATTCTTTCTCTGTTCTTCTGAGATGTAAATCTTCTGCAACCCAGGATTGTGTTTCTCAAGGACCTGGGAGCTATCTTTTTGCAGTGCAATCACCAGGAAAGACAGGACCTCTGTCTCCTAGCCTCTTGGGAGTGTAGGAGCCTAATTTCCACTAGTGACAAGTAGCAAACACAGATGGCCCAGTCCCTTAGGCCAGACTCCTCTCTCTTCCTCAGAGTCCTCCAGGACCTTTTTATTCACTCACCCCAGCATTTAAAACTGCTTCTGCCTTTTATTTCAAGGGAGTTGAGTTCAGCCTCTCCTTTATTGCAGTAGTCTTGAATAGTCTTCCTCATCATTTTGAACAGGTGTCTAGTGCAATTTTTCTCCTTAACAATATTGCCTGGTTCTTCATTTGGGGATACTTCTATGAATAAGAGAAACTCCATGTCTATGTACTTGAATTGTATATATTCTGTACTTGAATTGACTGTAACCTTACTTTAAATTTAATGTTAAAGTTTTGAATAAACTTGAACTATTTAGTGTCACAAATATGATATCTATGATCCACTCAGAAATTCTGCCTTTAGTTTATTCCTTGTGGTATTTTGGTTTTTTGTTTCACTAGAAAGGCAGGGAGCTGTTTGATGTCAACTTCAAATATAAAGATTTTTGCTTGCAGAAATCTCAGATATCTATCAATTTACCATCTAAATATTCCTTAAATTCTCTCTGTCCAATTTCTACAAGTACTCATCTATTCAAGGCCTCCATCATCTTCATTTGGGCTGAGTATATTTTTCTTGAATCTGTACTTTCTGTCTACTTATGCTCAAATCTGTTTTTCACACTGCAGAAAGGTGATCTTCCAAAAATGGAAGTCAGCCATATGTAAGTGTCTGGACAGTCACTGCCGTACAAGGTACACTTATGAGAATTAGATAAAAGGTCCTCTTCTTCCAGTAAAATAGAATTTAGTTTAGCAGACCACCACCTGCACAGCTGTACTTGGGCTGATCTGGGGAAGGTGGGGACTTGGGAAGTTCTCCTCGGCAGGACC